GACGAGCTCGTGATTTAGGTTAAACTAAACAAGGTTGAAAGACCCACGAATAACTGAAGCCTGGAAACAAAACTGTCTCGATATAAATAAAAAATAAAATAAGATAGGGCAAAGTGTTTACTGTAAAAACCTTTAAGTAACGATTCTATCCCATCTTTCTCTATTTTACCGAAAATAAAATTAAGGGAACGATGTTTTTTGGCCCAGCATGGCCAAATGGTTAGAGCGCTTGACTCGCAATCTGATGGGCGCGGGTTCGAATCCTCGTCACACCAAACATGATAATCTGAATTTTATAGAAAGCCTCCACACGCTTATAAATATAAACAACACGACGCTCCAAAGAAAAGTATCTATTATTAGTTTGCTGTAGTCAGTGTGCGATAAACGTTAGAAGCTATAACTGTGATTGTTATAATGTTTATCAATGGGAAAATTTCGCATATTTGAACAGGAACCATTACAAAGTTCGAACATTACAAAACTATTTAACTTCATTGGATTCTCATCGGACATTAGTATTTTTACGAAAACATTATATAAATTCATCGTTGAAAAACTCGGCGTGTGTGGCCGGTAATTAACGAAAAACAAAGCTAGCTAGCTTCCTGTTAAGTGAATTATACCTACGTCAACTCGCAAGCAACTCGCTCATCGTGGACCCTCGATAACATATCGAAGAAGTTTCAGACTAGAAAGAAGATTTTATATTGCTTGTAAGTTTGTGGAAATTTTGTTTATAAATCATTGTTTGTAATAACTATTTGTAATAACTGTTATTGTAAATTGTATTTTTGTGTGTATATTAAAATGTATTTGTGCTAAAAAAGTAAACTGTGTGTATCAATCTTGTTCGCAAACATCATAAACTGACTATATATCGGCTTCTACTTACTACTAAATTTATCAGTTAACTCAATTTCAGGCTATTTGAAATTCTAATACGTAACAAGAACAATATGATATCACGTGCAAGGCATTCCAAATGTTCTTATACTCTATCCAATATCCTTTTCACTATACATTCGAGCGTGAATAAATTCACTATCGATTAGCCTCCCCCCCAGTGGCACAGCGGAATGTCTGCGGACTTACAACGCTAGAAACCGGGTTTCGATACCCGTGGTGGACAGAGCACAGATAGCCCATTGTGTAGGTTTGTGCTTAATTCCAAACAAACAAATCATTATCGATTAAAAATTATTTTTACATGAAACTAAGTGTTTTGTCGTTGAATTCGACAAGTATAAGATATGATTTAGAGTCGTTTTTTTCAAATTCGAAATGTAGTTTAGAGATCTGCAAATAAACTTAAAACCTTATACAACTGTTCTATTTTGATAAGTTTTAGTTATGAAATATGTATTGAAATAAGATTAACTTTTTTTTTATTGAAATATCATCAGAATCACCCTATTCAACACAATTTCGATTAAAAATATGAAAAAAATATTTGACAGACAGAGAAAAACGTAGTTCTTACACACACAAACACACACACTGTTCTCATTATCGAAACTTCTGTATTCTACTTGAATGATAATTTAGGAAAATGTCATTACTCGGAGAAGAACCAACAGTGATGAATTTTGTAGTTAGTAGTACTACCAAGCAGTGGAGAAATCAGAAGAAAATTAGACATTCAAATCCAGTGTCATAGCTACTAAACAAGTTTTAACTTTGATTCGCACCAGCTTTACAAACAAGTGTCAAAAATTGGAGAAAGTTGTAATTGTTCCCTAAAACTACCGTGTTCGTAAAGTTAATGAACATTATGCCTTCATGAAGCCAATGATGTGTGTGTGCGTGTCAAAACCACAGGCATCCTGTTCATAATTTTTATTTTCCAAAAAAAACTATTATGTTGTAGTTGTGTTAAATAATAAGTTTTCTTGTGACGAAACAAACATATATAATTGAAAAGTAAAGACAATACAAACAAATAAATGAGGAGTTCGATTGCTAGTTTGTTTGTTTCAGAATTTTCGCGAAAAGAGCCATTTACGCATAGCTTTTCCTAGTTTTGAAATTATATAATAGAAGAAGGCGATTAGTAAACAATAGCCATTGCCAATTGTTGGCTGACCGAATATTGTGACAAAGAGCTGTGAACCATTCACAGTCCGGCATGCTAACCACCAGGTCACAACCGGTCTAAAATGAGAAGTTGAATTACTTCTGTGAATATAGTTCTAACCAAACAACATTTTCTAAAGATTCTGAACATATCTTGAAAATAACATTTGTTCTTAGACAGAACCTTAAGAAGTATCAGTTATTTTTTCGTATTAAATATAATTATTAAATAGTTTGCATGCACAGGATTTAAACTATAATACAAAACTTGAGTTTTGCTTGACGTGATTAGGTTGCATTAACAAAACAAAAAATTGCTAGTCCAATTACGTACTGCATGTGGAGTTGTAATTATTACACTGAAAACCGGTTTCATGAGAATTTATAAAAACATCTTTCAAGATCAACCATCAAACGGAAACAACTTGTTATAGTAATACTGTTTACCAAAGAAAAATATAAACGTGAAGCATAGTTTTACACAACAACAAGTGGTTATGCCAAATAAATACAACTAAAATATCACTAAAAATAAAAAAGAAAAACACATTTTGTAAAATACTATCCATATTATAAAAAAAAAGAAGTGTTCAATGCCACCTTCTGGGATCTTAAGCTATTTCTAACCTTTTCTTTTCCAACATAAACTACAAGATTGTTTCAAAGGCATTTCAATAAGTGTAACGTAGTATCTGTACAGACTTTACTGACGAAATTGCAAACGAAAGTTGCAAGAACATAGAAGTCTTGATCTTGATTACATTGTTTTACTGTGTTGGTTACAAGAAAGCGAATATTGCACGGATACAGAAGTTTTTGTTCTGATACGCTTCATTTTTTTTTTAACACATTGCTAAATGTTTTTGTACTTCAAGATAAATAATAAATGCAAAGTTTACGACAATCTAATACTATTGGTGATCTAATAACGTACATTCCCAAGTAATGTGTCAAAATGGAAATTTAGGAACTTTACCTAAGCAAAGTCTACCTTATATAAGCAAAAATTGACAAAAATAAGAAACTATCTTAAATAACTTTACACACACACACAAAATTAATTCTTTAACAATGAGAAATAATTTCTTTATAACTAAGAATATTATATCGTAATCAGTCTCTTTTGAGCTTCAAACTGATTTTTCCAACAAGTGCAAGGAATATTGTGAAAGTTTCTTGTAGATGTAAAGGTTGAAGATTGGTAGTAGATGTAAACATTAGCTATCAGGTGAGGCTGTATCAGAGAGTTTCACTACATTTACGTGACCTTTAGCTATCAGGTGAGGCTGCATCAGAGAGTTTCACTACATTAATGTGACCGTTAGCTATCAGGTGAGGCTGCATGAGAGTTTCACTACATTAACGTGACCTTTAGCTATCAGGTGAGGCTACATCAGAGAGTTTCACTACATTAACGTGACCTTTAGCTATCAGGTGAGGCTGCATCAGAGAGTTTCACTACATTAACGTGACCTTTAGCTATAGGTGAGGCTGCATCAGAGAGTTTCACTACATTAACGTGACCTTTAGCTATCAGGTGAGGCTGCATCAGAGGCCGTTAGCTATCAGGTGAGGCTGCATCAGAGAGTTTCACTACATTAGTGTGGCCGTTAGCTATCAGGTGAGGCTACATCAGAGAGTTTCACTACATTAACGTGACCTTTAGCTATCAGGTGAGGCTGCATCAGAGAGTTTCACTACATTAGTGTGGCCGTTAGCTATCAGGTGAGGCTGCATCGGAGAGTTTCACTACATTAATGTGACCGTTAGCTATCAGGTGAGGCTGCATCAGAGAGTTTCACTACATTAATGTGACCGTTAGCTATCAGGTGAGGCTGCATCAGAGAGTTTCACTACATTAGTGTGGCCGTTAGTTACCAGATGAAGCTGCATTAGAAAACTTCTCTAAACTGGCTACTTTCGGTAAAGTTTGGTTAACCTAGATAAAAAAACGTAAGGTAACGTGCAAATCCAAGTTTATTTGATCCTAACAGCCAAAATAGTTTAGCTTCCAATAGAAGTGAATAATGAAAAAACAACAACAAAAAAGACGTAAAACAACTTAGTGCAAGATTACTGCTATTATTCCTAGCATCTACATATTACGTTTCACGAGTGAAGTAAGAAAAACACGTTAGTAGTGAGAAATGAAAATAATTTTCGGAAGTATACTTTATCATTGTTAAATTTTGGCAAACATTTAAAATTATGCAAGTATTCAATGTGAAAAAAAAACACATTTTGGCAACAAAAGGGATTACAGTAAAATAATGTTTTATAAACTTTTATGAAGAATACAATAAAATACAAATGTTTCTTGATACAAACACACACACACACATATATATATATATTACAAATACACGCACACACTGACAAACATGTAACACAGACACATTGCCGTTAAATTTTAGAGTGGCCTGATCATTGCCATATTGCCACTTCTAGTTCTAAGGAGTCTCGGGGCATGCACCGCAGAAAAAAATAAAATAAAACTTAATGGTACGAGATTGAATCTTCAGCCATTTTACCTACAAATACTGCATACAACAATTAAAATAAGCAAATTTTACTACACAAGTAGTATATATTCATGCCATAAAGTGGCCACACCGTTTCCCGATGGCCCATATATATATATTTATTAGTCAACAACTGAATAATTTTATTTGCACCCGAAACACCAGCAGAAACAGGGTGCTAAAACCTTAATTTCTTAGCACCCAACTTATGAGTGGGGAGCTGTTTCATATTTTCGCGGTGAAAGTATGAACTTTAAGGTATTAATCAATCAACTACAGTTGTTAAAGGAAAAACTACCGATTGTAATATCTTTAAATACTGAAAAAAAAATATCAGTTGTAAAAAGGTTTTATAACTTTGTTATTACGAGAGTACTATTACAAGCATTAGAAATAACAAACCGTTTACGACGACATGAAACATTCATGACCCTGCGTAGCAGTAGTCGCAGTAATACTAATAGTTGAAGTGGCCGAGGAAAGTTGACGATTCTTGCGATCAAAACCCTTTACGGTCTAACACCGACACGCGATTCTCTTGTCAGTCAGCAGAAACATCAGCTATAAAAGCAACGTAATCCTGTGAATTGTGCATGTGAGCTAGATTGTTCCACTCTTTAAAAGGGGAAGGAAGGGACACGTGATGGTATAGACGTATTATTCAGCGTCTGATCCGCATGCAATACACGCTGATACTTCACACATTTATTTACCGACTCTTTTTTTTCATTTGTTCCTCGCCCTTATAAAAATAGGTAGGCTTGGTGTCTCGTTTCTTTCCCAGAACGTACGCTCGGACAAACCAGTGTTACAACTTTTCCGACAAAAACCTGCCAGATTTCATATTCCTTTGGTGCAGAGGAAGAGGCGTCCGAACGATGGCTACTCGACTGTCACGAAAGATCCACTGAATAACCTCGTTCTTGTAAGCTGGGTCAGCTTTCGAATTGTTTAATATATTAAATATTTTACAACCGGCTGGGTCTTTAGTATTTCTTGCGTGCAAGCTAGGGACTCCCATCTCGCCTTTATACAAACAACTATTAAACACATCATGATGTATAAAGCCCGAATTTGGGAAAAATGATAATTCATTGTTATTTTTAGGATGCTTATATCTAGTCCTTGCTCATATTTCAACCGGTTATAAATGAGTTTAGCACAGCTACAGTTTTTACTGAAACAGTTTGCCTGTATACTTTATACACAGTGCAGCTAGTTGATCAGTGAAAATCACTGTTACACGGTGAAACTAAGTTATAAGTAATAATCACTGTTACACGGTGAAACTAAGTTATAAATGATAATCACTGTTACACGGTGAAACTAAGTTATAAGTGATAATCACTGTTACACGGTGAAACTAAGTTATAAATGGTAATTTATAACTTAGTTTCACCGTGTAACAGTGTGGTAATCACTGTTACACGGTGAAACTAAGTTATAAATGATAATCACTTAGTTTCGGAATTAATCATCCTGCTCAAATTTCTCCTTCGTTGCTTACAAGATGTTTGTTTACGAATGTCCCATAGAATAATGGCTCTGAAATACGACAGCAGCTTTGCTGATCAAAAGTTTCCTTCATGTAAAACAAAGATATTAATATTTTCAACCACAGCAGCGCCTATGTGAACATGTTGTAAACAGTCAAGTTCGGGTGTGGTTGTCCATATTGTTGAACTACTGGCCGATGGGGGAAGGGGGCAGCAGCAGCTGCCATAAGGGATTTGTTACCGGCTCTTGAACCAAGTAACGGGATTAATTGTCACTTTTATAACACGCCCACAGTTGAAAGCGTGTAGCGTGTTCAACTGAACCGAAGCTAGAACCTTGGACCTTCTGATACACAACTCGGCGCGCCCAGTTCCTTAAACAAAAACATCTTAGTCTACGACTTTTATACGTGAAATGCCTGTTCTATATGTTTATGGCGAAGACGTGATCAAAGACGAAGAAATATCAATTGATATAAATATAGTGCCATAATATTATATATATATTTGACGTCGTTAATTAAGGCTAAGTATTAACGTCTCAGATGTTATTACAAATGCGAAGATACCAAAGCTCAAGCCTAACATTAAATATATTTCGCTGTCAGAAATTTTAACTGTTATCATTATATTAATAGCAGTGAGCCGAGGAATTATATGACCTCATTATATACCTGTATACACTTACCTTGAAATCCAGTATCTTGTTGTAGCCTTCACTTGTTGATGTTTCGTGTGTACTTGAAGTGTTCTCAGATTACTTCTTCCTCCTTCACCTGCATGCGTGTGTATCATGTTTACCAGACGAAACTGTAACTTATGAACCCAGTCACGCCCGGCATGGCCAGGTGGATAAGGCGCTCAACTCGCAATCTGAGGGTCGCGGGTTCGAATCCCCGTCCCACCAAACATGCTCGCCTTTTTTAGCCGTGTGAGCGTTATAATGTGACGGTCAATCCCACTATTCGTTGGTAAAAGAGTAGCTCAAGAGTTGGCGGTGGGTGGTGATGACTAGCTGCCTTCCCTCTAGTCTTACACTGCGAAATTAGGGGCAGATAGCCCTCGTGTAGCTTTGCGCGAAATTCAAAAAAACAAAACAAACAAAACAGATGAACCCAGTCGCAAAGATATAAGGATCTAAATAACAAAGAAACGGGACAAAATTAAATAAGTGAAGAACGAATAGTAATATTTTAAATAACAAAGCATAATATAACAAAAGCAAAAAAAGATATGAATAAGAACATATAATAACCCATTCAAAATTAGAGTAGCCTGTCATGGCTAAATTCAAATGCTCGTCCAAAACGAGTGAGTTTTTAATCTACCTAATATTTAAGATCGACGTTCGTGTTCTGTTCTTTCTTTACATGTTCACAAAGGAAGCTGTAGTGGTAGTGCAATCATCTTCTAGTTAAGAACTAGTTTTCTTGGCTTAGTGGCAAGAGATTTTAGAATTCTAAGGAATTCTTTCCGGGAATGGAGAATGACACGGGAAAAGCTGTAGGTAGGCAGCACAACATTACTTTCGTTTAGACAGAGATTGGTAACAGTACTACTATAACCCTAAAACCTACAACACTAGTAGTAGAAGTACTTTTATTCACCAATCAAAGTTGTAGCAAAATACAGTAAAGTCTTCATAAGGAATGCAGAAACCAACAGAAAGACTGGATAAGGAATATTACTTGGACATTCGAGCCCCTCTTTCACGATCTCCTCAACCATAAACGTGCGAAGTTTCAATTTGCCCAACCAATTGTAAGAGATATGTGATTGAGAATGACGTAAGCCTACATGAAAGAGGGAGAGTTGATCCCCCAAGGAGCACTCTAACCTGCAATAAGAAGAATGAGTTACAGCTGAAGTGCAAGATTCCCATCATGCTTCTAAAGACTTGGATATGAACACTTTACCTTTAGTTATAGTTCTAGACACCTTACTATTCCCTTGACCATAAAAGACGAAACCTGTCATAGAAGAGGCGAATTTTTTTTTTTTTTTGAACCCGACATATTACTGAAACTAAACGTTTGTCTTATATAATGAACAACATTAGTGGAATAAAAATTATTTTGAAACTTATCAAGTGTTCTTCTTCTGCCTATTAGCACATTGTTAAGCGTGCTCTCAATGTCTAGGGCTTATAACGCCCCGATTCGCCACTAACAGCCTCAACATGTAATCGTGAAGGCTAAAACAGCAATAGCACTTGTCTCATAATCTCGTACTAGATATTTCTTGTATACATGATAACACCATTCTTTCACTACATATTCTGAAAATGCTTAAATTAATAAGCAGATCACAACCCCTACTCTGCATTCCAGTTCTCCTGAACCTTCTTAGAAGAACAACAATACATTTGCTGAACAACTAATTTTTCAAAACTTGTCGTCAACAAACAACAATGTGAGATCAAAAGCATTTAATAAACCATAGTAAACAATAGTTAGTCTAATTTCAACTACTCTTCAACAGAACCAAGTTAATTTTCAAAAAACCTTATTTTAAGATACTTTAAATCAGGTCTACTTTGATGCCACACGTAACGGAATGATAAGTATTAATATCCCCGTAGTAAAGAATGTTGTTATCAGACGATACAACAAAATAAACAAAATATTAAAATTGTATAATCCTAACAATAATTTAATGTTTAGATCTCTAAAACTATAAATCCAAAGAGAATATGAGAACATCAAAGCGTTAAAAGCAAAGGTATGCCATTCCTAATAAAAACTTGTCACTCTTTATATTCTTTTGTATTGTACTATTAAAGTTAAAGATAATTTTTATGATTGTTAAGCATAAACAATAAACATAATTTAAATAACTACGCCTTAAATATTTATAATCTTTCTATAAAGTAAGAAGTAAGGTATATGTTGGGAAGATAAAATCATTTAAATATGTAAAAGCCAGTTGTCTTTTGGTAACCCTTCTTGCTTCTTTCGTATGTGTCAATTAGCAACAAAACTATGACCTGATATTGTTGTCTTAAGTATTTATCTAATACTTTAAACGTTCACAAGGATTGGCTTGAACTTTACTTATTTTAGATCGTTTAACGTTTTAGTTTATGAATATGCTTAGCGTGACGAAGACATTTCGAAGTTCGTGGTCAGGTTACCGAGTTAGCGCCGTTTTTCGGGTCACTTTTATGAAAATTTCTAGCATGAGTAACTTTACATCACACTATCGTTGCGTTCTTTACGAAACTTCTTCGTTCAAATCTATTTCCCTGTCAAGAGGATGAAGCACCCAAAATTAATAGGTTTATGATAAAAATCCTATCACAAAGTTTAAACCTAAAAGTTAATTTCAAGTACCGTCATTAGTTAAGACTAATGGCAATACAATAGGGAGAAAGATGAAAATGTTTTATCCAAAAAAGTAATAATACAACTGAAAACTTCACGAAACCTAATAAATAAAAATATATGAACAATGGTCACTAACTTCTAACTTAGATTGTTTTTAAATTCTGGCCTGATTTTAACGAAACTTCTTTTATTCTGTTTCTATTCTCATTTATATTCTCATTTCATTATAAATATGGCGCTATTTGCGCCGTTTTTGCTGTATTTAATTACAGACAAGCAAGCAAACAAACAATCTCAGAATTTTAGTGATATATATATATATATATGACGTAATTAGAAAAATAAGTTAAGCGGTTGTTTTGTCCTAACAAAACTCCATCTCGTCATTTTTTGAGGAGTGAGGCAAGGCTAATTTTATATAATGCTTAAGCTGCACAAGAGTGGCAAGATAAAATCGACTTAAAATAACAATTAAAGCGTACAGATCGTTAAAGAAAGAAACAAAATAAAATAATCTTTAGTGATGTTTCTACATATATCATTTTTACATCAATGTACTTGTTGCTGATACAGAATTCTGAAGGATTTGTTGTACTACAGAAGGTGTTATGATTTCAGGTGTTCAAATTATAACCCTAAAATGTACTCCCATAAAAGGTTCGATCTGTTAATCTCAAAAACTACAAATTACATCAAAAGGATTCACCTTCAAATAGTGTTC